TATTTGGTTTTTAAAAGTTTAATATTACATTTTCCCTACATTTTTTTTTTGGAGTCAAATTTTATTTGACCACTTATTTTTCAAGATGATGGTTATAAGGGAGGGGTTAAGGGTTGCAGCCAATAAGCCAATCTCCCCCAAGGCTCACCGGGGCTGGCACTGTGCCACGTGTTTACATGCTTCTCACTGACACGCCCCCCCCTGATGCCCCACGGAAGAGGCCTGTTTTGTTATTGCTGCCACGGTGGCACAGCACGGGGTGCAGCGTGCAGGCTTGCCAGCCAGACTGAGTGGGTTTGAAATCTGCCTTTCTTACTCACCAACTGTGAGCAAGTTACTTAAACTGTCTGTGCCTTCATTTCCCCACAGCAAAAGAGGGGTAATAGTAGCTCTCTAATAGGGCTATTGGAGGAATAAATGGATAATAGTTTTCTCTCTGTACGTGTTAGCCGTTGTTTGCTCTAGATTAATGTTGGCTATTATTAGCCTCACTTTACAGATGAGGAAACGGAGGCTCCGAATGAGTGAGGAACTCTCTCAGGACCATGCAGCCAGTAAGCGGTAGAGCCAGGAGTGGAGTCTGGGCAGAGGGGCCGCTCTTCATTGCTGTGCTCTGCTGCCTTCCTGTCCATTCCGAGCTGCGTTCCGCCTCCCTGAGACTTGCCCTCCCGGTCTCATGAAGTTGACTGGGAATGTTACAAGCTGCGAGGATTAAGTGGAATAATGTTTATGAGCAGCCTACCCCCGTGCCTGGCACAGAAGCGGGAGGGGCTCGGGTACCTGGAGACGACACAGATGCCAGTTTCTCCCCTCTTTGCCCACCACACCACAAGGGATAACGCAGACTCTGCTTTTGTGGCCAGTCCAAGGAAGGTACATGCAGCCTCGGGTGGTAGCCTCTGGGTCTGGGGACATATGCGGGTGGAATTGGAGCCATGGACAATACAGAGGAGTTCCCCGGTGACAGGAGCTCGGAGGCAGAGTTATTTGTCAGATGCATGCGGCCATTTGTCAGGTCCTCACTGTGCACAGGGAGGAGGGACGGGGGATGGAATGAGTTCCCAGCGTGACGGCCAAGTCCTGAACCGCAGCTGGGGCTGACACCAGGCCCCACCGAGGCTGGAAGCGGGCCACAGCCTGCCGCTGTCCAAGGAGACGTAGGAGCCCTGCAGGCAGCAGCTCACAGTACAGCATTGATTGTGGAGGCTCCAGAGCTGCGGGCGCAGTTGAACTTTAAGGTAGAAAAATCTACTCACAGTCAAATTATCCTTCATGTGTTTGCACACACTGACCAGTATGGGCTCCTGGCTATCACTGAGCTAAGAGCTCTTTTTGAAAATTGGGAAAGACTGATGATCAGAGTAAAAGGCTGGCCCAGGATCCCACAGCAGTTCAGTGCAAAACTGGGGCCGGGATCAGTAAAAAGGCCTTGCATGGCCTTCTCGTCCTGGCTCTCCACGAAGTTATGAGCACTTGCTGTGTGCCCCAGGCTGTGCAGCCCTGCCCCCCCGTGGAGACTTAACCCTTTGAGTGCCAACCAATATCCTAGGAACGATGCTAAAATTGCCAAGGCATTTTTTGCTGATTTTACAACAGTTTAGGAAAAAAATTATGACTCGCAAGTAAGTGAAGTTACATATTCAAAAACTTAAGGAAACCTTTACTACATTGACATATTTAGCAATATCATCATCACTAATAAAAAGCAGACTTAGAACTGGACGCCATTTCGAAGCTTCGATAGCACTCCGGCACTTTTGGTGAAAGACAGGAGGAGCGCGATCGTGCTCCCCGGCACTCAAGGGGTTAATATTGATGAGTTCGTTCCCAAACAGGCATGGACACCCACCTTCTGATAGCCCATCTTCGACCACACCCTCTTTCCTGCTTTAATCTGCCCACCCTTTCCAGTTGCTAACCTCTAATTCTCAGCCCTCTTTATTGACTTTTCTCCCACCCACCCCCACCCAAGAAGCTCAGGCTGGAGCTCCCCAACCTGGGGTCAAACCTCCGGTCAAACCTCCGCTCTTTTTCCTACCAGCTGTGTGACCTTAGGCAAGTTACTTAACTTCTTCCACAGTTCCCTTTCTTATAAAGTGGGCGTGATCATTGTTCAGCCCTTGTATTAGTGTGTACAAAAGAGTAAGCGTGTCTGGGACTGGTCAGTGCTGTCTTATCGTTACTGACATCACCTCCATCTGTTCGTGATGGTGCCCCCTTTGCCCTGGGAGGATTGGGGTGGAGAGCAGGGGGGCCTTCAGAAGAGGCAAATCCTTAAAGGGCCTTGAAAAACTTCAGAGGAGCTGGCTCCTGAGGGTGGCATTTGAAGGCTGGATGAAGGCCTAGTTGATGGGAATGCAAGAAGAGCAGGTAGGAAGGGAGCGGCATGAGCAAGGGCGTGGGGGCAGGAAAGAAGTAAGGGGCAGTTTGGGGAATGGCTGGCTGGGGAAGTCAGAGTTGATGAGGCTGGAAAGGTCACAGGTCGGGGACACGGGTTGAGGAGGGCCTTGGAAGCCAAACTGAAAAATCTATACCGAGTTGAACAGGCAGCAGGGAGCTGGTGAATCCAGAAAGGTGTTGATTCTAGGCACCCGTGACCTGGCAGTCTCAGCAAACTTTTTTATTGGTTCCCATAGATGAGCTGATTTGCTTGTGATTTTCCAGATGGAAGGTATAGCCAACGATTGATAATTTTGCTGTTCCCCACCCCACAATGTTTATGTCTCTCTCTTGCCTTCTTGTACTGGCTAAACTTTCTGAACAGTTTTCAGTAACGACAGGTTTCCTGAACATGTTCTTGACTTTCATAAGAAGGCTTCAAGCATTTCACCAGTTAGGTATGCTGTTGACTCTAGATTTAAGATCAATATCAGATCAAAGCAGTATACTCCAATTCTTATTTACTAAGAGGTATTGCGAGGAATTAGTATTGAGTTTCAGCCAATGCCTTTTCCATAGCTTTGATGTAATCACATGTTTCTCCTCCTTTGATACATTAATATGCTTTCCCAACCAATGCTTTAATATCGATCATCCTTGTATACCCAAATTGAGCCTTTTTTGGTCATGGTATAGTATTCTTTTTCTAATATTACTTGATCAGTGATATTGATTTTTTGCATATATATTAATAAATGAACAGTTTAGTAACAGAAATATGTGTCCCTTGAAGATATGTCATACTTTAAACAATAAAATAAAACTTAAAAAAAAAGATCTTGCTCAAAACAAAACCAAAAAACTTGTTCAAGAAGCTAAATGACTGAGGCATCTTATTTTTAAAAATAATTTTAAAAAACTTTTAATGTTTCTTCTAAGGTTATTAGGCTACTCATATTTTCTACCTCTTCTTGAGTTAATTTTGATAATTCATGTTTTTCTAGAAATTCTACTTCAGTTGAGATTTCCACATTTGTTAGTGCGGAGCAGCCATGCATTTCCAAATGGTTTTTAGCATCATCTCTTCCATATCTCTGGTTGTATCTTCTCCTTATTCCTAGGTTCATCTATCTTATTGGTCTTTTCAAATAACAATTCTTAGTTGTATTTATTGTTACGTCTGCTTTTCTGTTTCCTAATTTGTTATTTTCTGCTTTTTCCTGATCCATTCCTTCCTCCTCCTTTCCTTAGGCTCACTTTATTGCTTTTTTAGCTGGCTCCTTGAGTTGCGTGAGGCTTCGGTGAGGCACTGATTTTTCAATCCCTTGCTTTTGGAATCAAGGTTTTAAAGCATGTGTAACAGTGGCAGAAACTATTGGGGTTCAGTCCCCGTTGAAGAAAGAACCCCATCCCAGGAGCCGGAGAGCTGGATTCCAGTACCAGCCTTGCCTCAAATCAGCTGAGTGTCTCTAGGCACGACCTTCCTCTCTCAGGCAGCCAGGCGAGCTCCCCTGCACCAGGCCGCCTCTTATCAGGACAACACCCTCCGTCCCCCAGGAGGCAGATATGGCTTCCTCTGACGTGCTCCTGGCTCTCATCCCAACACACATACCCACGAAAGCTGTGCAGTTGAACTTCATTCTGTGTGATGGAGCCAATGAGCAGTGGTGACTGTGCGGCTGGAAGGCAAGGCGCAGCCTGGGCGTCCCAGCTGAGACACGTGGAGCCTCTGGACACGGGGTCAGAGGCAGGGCCAGGTGCACGTGCAAGGCAGTGGAGTGGGGTGGCTAACCATGTGGACTTTGACCTTCCAATGTCTCATATCCCGTAAAATGGGGTGCATCAGTGCCTTACCTCATAGAGTTGTTGGGGGTTAATTGAGTTAATAATTTAAAATACTAAGAACAGACCTGGTGTCTTGTAGTTTCCATGTTAGCATTTTTGGCTTGTCGTTGTCATTAATAGCATGGAGGCAGGTGGTGTGGGCGATGAATGAGGAGTCACCCTGCTCTCCAGAACCTCGCAGCCTGCAGAGGTGGACACGCTCTTGCCAGCGTCTGCCTCCCGGTCCCAGTGCCCAGCACAGTATCTGGTATCAGGAGGTGCTTCCTGTGCCTTCACTGAATGAGTGACCGGCTCTAGCCGAAGGCAGAAGAATTCAGTGAGGACCAGAGCTGTGGGGGTTTGAGGCGGAGGGAGGCGTCTGAGCTGGTCTCTGAAGGCGGTGATGTTGGGCCGGTGCAGCAGGAGCAGAGGGTGCTTCACGCAGAGGGCACAACAGAGCAAAGGGGTGGCGGTGGGTGCTGAAGCCCAAGTCCTACTGGAGGCAGAGAGCCAGGTGAGCCTGCTGGAGCTCCAGTTCCCAGGGACACAGCAGAGCCATCCTGTTCCTGCTGTGTGGAGCCAGGGTGGCTGGAGGTGTGCACGTGCGTGTGTGTGTGTGTGTGTGTGTGTACGTGTACGTGTGCGTGTGTGTTTCCATGCGAGTGACGTGAGGAGCTGGGGGCATGTTGGTGCTCAGCGTCCAGACGTGACAAATGTGCAGATGTCCGGGGAGCGGTGGACATGAGCAGCTGGCCGCGGCGACGCTCACCCTGTGATTTGTTGCTTTGATTCCTCAGGCCGAGACTTGGCGAGCACGACCCTCCCCGGGTACCCTCCGCACGTCCCCCCCGCCGGACAGGGCAGCTACTCAGCACCGACGCTGACAGGGATGGTGCCTGGTGAGTTTGCATTGTTGGCGTCTCCACAGCAGGCGGCGGATGGGGTTTCGGGGGGGGCATCTCCCCGAACAGCCCTGGTGACCTCTGTGCTTCTGAGAAGTGGACCTGAATAAATCAGGCGGAGGTCTGCACTCTCGGCTTCCTCTGCAGCCGGGCCTGCCGTGGGGCCGGGACCAGCCAGTGGCGGCACCCGGGGGGACCTCAGAGAGAGGGGGGCTATTGGCTGTCACTCAAACAGTCCTCATTGGCCACCTGGGAAGTCTGAACACAGAGGGGTGCGGGACCTGGTCGAAGGTCGCCCAGCCTGGGGAGTGAGGGCCCTCCCCCATCCTCTCCTCCCATCTCCCTTCCCCACCCGCTCCATGTGACATGAGCACAGGGAGAACCCCTGGGGAGCTCCCCGTGGCCTCACGCTTTGGAATTGAGGACCATGTGCTCAGGACAGACAGGAAGCTGTCTGGTGGGTTTGTCACTTGACTCTAAACTGAACACCCTGTGGCCCTTGAAACCTGCTCCCCTCCGGCCGGCCGCGTGTCAGTTTCTTTCAAGACAGTGGAAGGGAGGCCACCACGCGCCCTTCCATGCACAGCACAGCACATGGCACCGTCCGCGTGCAAAGGGCATGAGCACGGCAGGGGTACCCCAAGTATCCGTTTTTTAAAAGATGCTTAAAGACATGATCAGGGGAAAGTCAGGTTGAAGGGTTGTTCCACTTCTTTTAAGGGCTCGTGTGGTCCCTTGTTTTGAGTCATTTACGGGGGCCCCACGACTTACTCCGTGCTGGGGGGCCCCAGGGGCGCTCCTCTCCCCGCACACACTGCTGATCTCTCGGGCGTGTGGAAAGCCAGCTGGTTATTTCTCCCCTCCCCACCCCAGGGACTTCTCTTTGGAGCCTCACAACAGCTCTGAGAAGCAGGCGGGTGGATCACTCACCTGCTTTCTTGCTGAGGAAACTGAGGCCAGAAAGGGGTTGGGACGGGCCCAAGTCAACCAGCAAGTGGGAGTCTGACCAGTGTGAACCCCCCTTAGACCCAGGCAAGAGGGACCTACACTGGCCCCGTAGGCCCCGCCCCTGATTGGCCATCTGCAGGGCCAACGGGATCTGTCCACCTTATACCCGAGCCCCTCCTTCTAGCCCACCCTAGGGGTCCTGTCCAGATAGCACCAGTCTCCTCCAGCATCTTCCCTGACTTACATCACAGGCATGTGCACCCCAGGGCTGAGGACTGGCTCTTCGCGGGGGTGTGGACAGAGCTTGGGTGTAAGCGGGTTTGGGGAAGGGAAGGGAAGCAGGGCAGATCCTAGCTCAGGTGGCTCTCCCACGCAGCCAGGTCCTGGCACAGATGCCCAGGGGTCCCGGAATTCTAAATTCACTCCTGCTTTCCAGGTTATTACAAATATGTGTTTAACAAGGTAGGAGGACGGAGCATGTTTCATTTAACGGTTTGTTAGCTTGATTTATGGCTTTCAAATATGAGACATATGGGAAGTGGCCTCCGTGTGTGCTCTCGCCCTGGGCCGTGCCAATGCCGAGAGGCCTGCCAAGGTCACACCTGCAAAGCCTTGGCCTTTTCTGCTACCAGGATGGGCCCGTGCAGAGCACAGGGAACTAGCAGGCATAAGGCAAACAGGTGGTGGGACAACCCCCGCCCCCGCTCTTCCCAACTGTGAGCAAGCTAGGGCAGCCTGGGAGATGGATCCCCAGCCATCTCCATTAACGGCCCCGCGAATTGATGCAGCATCTGAATGAATGCAAAGCGCTTTCCTGGGAGCCCTCGGATGTTGCCACCCTGCGAGGTGGGCCGGTCTGGAGTGTAGCCCCCGTTTTCCAACAGGAGAAGCCGAGGCTCAGAGCAGGTGGGGAGTTTTCCAAGGCTGCACAGCTTGTGTCTGGGTCTTTGCAGGTCAGTTCAGCACTCCTGCCTGTGTCTGTGCTGCCAGAGGGTAGGCGGCAGCATATTGGCAGCTGAGGCCACCAGCTGCCCTGCTGCCTCTCCACTGCCAACCCCAAAGAGGCCACGTTCAGAGAGCAGCCGAACTTTCCCGAGTTTACCCAAACAGAGCCTGCCCTCCGGCCTCCATCATTACTCCAGCCTAATTACCAGGCGCAAAATACACCTGGCCATGGGCCTGGCCCAGCCCGGGTGGGAGCTCATGGCAGCTCCTTGCCCATGTATGGTGGACGCAGGTAGGCGGGGGCTGCCACAGGTTGGCCCAGGGCGTGGTCCCCTGAGACTCTGTTTCCAAAGCAGAGGCAGGGTAAGTGCACAGTGTACTCTTGTGCGTGCCTCTCCCCTCCCTTTCTCTTTTCTCCTTTTCTTGTTCTCTCTTCTCACGTACCCCAGCACTCTCAGGGCCAGGAATCCATACGCGGTGGGCACGGTCCTTGGTTCCTGTTCCTCAGTGTCCAAATCGCTGTCACGGCTTTGGGACTGTCTCCAACATGATTTCCAAATGTGCCTCCTGGACGGCTTCAGGGACATTGCGGGCTCTTACGCACGGTCTTTGCAGGAACTGCCCCAGGGTTGGCCCACAGCTAAGATGGCCCGCCTTTAGCAGAGCGGGTCCTTGGCCTGCCATTCAGGCATCTCCATGGTCTGGCCTCAGCTTGTCTTTCCAGCCTCCTTTCCCAGCCTGTCCCCAGCCCTGACCGCTCCTGGTTCCCAGCACAACTCACGCTTCCCGGTCAGTGTCCCTCTTGATTCTGTGCCCTCAGCTTAGACCACTTCCTACTACGGCCTGTTAGGATCCAGTGTCACTCTTAGGGGCTGAACATGCATCTTACCTGCCCCATGAAGCCTTCTGGCGTGGCCTCCTCTGGGGATAGAGTCTTGCACTTGGCTTTGTTGTGCCACACGGCCCACTGTGTTTGTGGCCCAGCTCACTGTGCCACTGAGAGGCGACCTCATTGAGGACCAGGCCCTCTGCTTTGTTTTCTGCACTATTCATGGACCTTAGCACATAGTAGGTCCTTTTGCTAAGGGAGGGAGGCCCCCCAGGGCTGCAACAGACAAGATGCTATTTGACGGGAGGCCCTCGAACAGTGATGGCGAACCTATGACACGCGTGTCAGAGATGACGCGTGTCAGAGATGACACGCGAACTCATTTTTTTGGTTGATTTTTCTCTGTTAAATGGCATTTAAATATATAAAATAAATATCAAAAATACAAATCTTTGTTTTACTATGGTTGCAAATATCAAATAATTCCTATATGTGACACGGCACCAGAGTTAAGTTAGGGTTTTTCAAAATGCTGACACGCCAAGCTCAAAAGGTTCGCCATCACTGCCCTAGGAGTATGGTGGGTCCTTCCAGTCCTGGCACTCTACTTGCCATGGATTGGGACACATCATTTGTAGGTGCCTTTCAATTAAATTTCTCAGTTAACTGACAGCTTTATTTTCTGGACAGTAGGAGGTGAGGGTGAGGGTGAGGGTGGAGCAGGAGCTTGGGCCAGTGAGGGGGTCTGGAACAGCAGCGAGAGGCGAGCAGAGACAGGCCGGCTGCACCCTGGCAGGAGGAAGGAGAGACAGGTGGGATTCCCTCTGCTTCCAGGGCGCGTCCCCGCCCCGCTGCTCCCACGTGACTGGCCCAGCCTGCCCTGCCCCTTCTCATCCCTGTGGGTTTCACCTCCTCAGAGGGGTCTTCTCTTTGACCCCAAATGTATTCGTTTCCTATCGCTGCTGAAGTGAGTTACCGCAAACAAGTGACTTAAAAAAAAGATAAATCTGCCGCCTCTCAGTTCTGGAGGCCAGGCTCTCACAGGCTAAGGCCCAGGGGCAGGCAGGGCTGTGCTCCTTCTGCAGAGGAGGGTCGTTCCCTCTCCAGCGTGTAGATACTGCCCAGATCCCTTGTTCTCGGCCCCGTCTTCATCGTCATCTGCAAAGCTGGCAACATGGGGCCGAGTCTTTATCCTCACGCCACCTCGCGGGTTCTCTCTCCTGCCTCCCTCTTCCACTCATAAGGATCCTTGGGGTTTTATTGGACCCACCTGGATAACCCAGGGTACCCTCCTTATCTCCAGGTCAGCTCATTAGTAACCGTAATTGCCCTTTGCCACAAAACCTGCCATGCTCACAGGTCCCAGGGTTAGGACGTAGACGTCTGAGGTGGGGAGCTGTTACTCTGCCTACCACACCGTCTAAGCCAGCCGCCCCCCCCCCCCACTCCTCTCCTAAAGCATCCTGTTCTTTTCACTCGTGATTCTAAGCACAATGGAAGGAATTTAATCAGTGTTTGACTCCTTCCTTACGTGCCTTCCCCTCAGGTCTGTGCAGTCCACAGGGTTGCACAGTCACAGGCTGTGTCTGTCTGTTCACCGCCGTGCCGCAGTTCCTGGCTGAGTGCCTGGCCCCGTTGAAATAAGAAGGGGGGCTTTGGGCTGGGCTGCAGTGAGAGCTCAGCCCAATGCTGGCACATGCAGCGAGGATGCTGGGCAGCGGCCTGGTGACAGGCAAGGGCTCTGCCTGGTTCTGAATCACCGACCTGCTTCTCACTAGCTGTGTGACTCGGGGCAAGCGATGTAACTTCTCTGTGCCCTCGTTTCCTCCTCATCGATGAAATGGAGATGATGCAATAAGAGTGAGCATGAAACGAGGTACTATGTGTAAAAAGCCTTAGAACTTTGCCTGGCACATATCAAGTGCCGTATAGGTGTTCTTTATCATGATGCTGCTGATTGTTTATAGAGGGGACTGAGCTGGGTGCAGTGGTGAGAAGACAAGCCTAACTGGCATGCCTAAAGCTGGCCTGGCCAAGTTGGCATTAAATTGAGAGCTGCCCAGCAGAGCTCATACCCCATGGATCAGTGGGAGCAGCAATTAGAGAACCCACAAGAGTGTTGCCAGGCAGGAGTGGGGTAGATGCTGAATGCTGCAGGTCTGAGAAACGGAGAGGCACCTGGGGTTGGTCCGATTGAGAAAGGTCTCTTGGAGGAAGGGGGCCTTAAGCTAGGCTGTGGCAGGTGTCCTTGGCCATCTGAAGAGGAGGCAGGGGG